CATTCCATACAAATGGACCCACCCTCGAGCCTTGAGGAGCCCCACGCTGCATCTCTTCCCTAAGAGTGCAGGTGTCTCCCTCATATATAACCCACCTGTCGCTAAGATAATTATCCATTATCCGCAACAAGTAGGGCGGCATGTTTTTCTTTTTCATCGACTCGATGAGATCTTTCCATCTTGCGGAATCAAACGCTCAAAAAAGGCCTTAAAATTTATTTAAATAAAGCAATAATATTAATTCAAGTTTAACTATGTGAACATAACTTATAGACATAAATAATCTCAGCGTAAAGTTACTAATGATTCATTTATTTACCTTCTTGTTCAGAAAAAGGTCCAAAAATGTATTTAAATGAAGTCAAAATAATTTATTAGTTCATTACAGACTGTTGAATCTTATTTTAATTACTATCAGAATTTGATATCTTGATTATTCTTGAGATTTCCCCCAAAAAAATGGAGGGTCGGTTTCGGACCACCCATTTTGAGAAAGTTAAAAACGTAAATTTTCGCTTTTTCTTTAGATCTTTTATTAATGACAATCAGAAACCTCGGCAACCGTCAGAAAACATTAAAAAATAGTTCCTTTACTCAAAAAAATTTTGACGAAGATAGAGAAACACATTTTTGGTACATGTTTAGCCTTTGCACTTTAGGGGGTCGGTATGGGACCACCCTCTCCTATTTAGGGTCGCTCTTTACGATTCTAAGATCAGATTTGCAAAATTTTTAAAAATCGATTCGATTTGCCTGAAATTTGTTATTCAGTGCTCGGGACGCCGGTGAGTTCAAAACTCCATAAAAACGAAAATATTCTTCGGATCAAAAAATTGCTATACACATATATTCTACATGTAGATTCTGATAAAGTATATTTCTATCAAAAAGGTTTTTAGCAATATTTAGATTCCATATAATTATGCTTTAGTAACATTACAGTTTTAAGAAAAAACGATTCTCATAAATTGATATTTGGTTAAATTTGATTTCTGACAAATTTAAATTCAATAAAGGTAACTTTACTAAATTTAAATTCTTTCTAGTTTTTTTCTGCTAAATTTATATTCTTTTAAATTTCTATTCAGATTAATTCTACTAATCAACTTTTCGCATCAATTCAAATTCAATAAAATATAATTCAAGACAATAAAATTATATTATATGAAATAAAAAATCTAACAAATCCAATTTAGAGCCTTTTCATGCGCTTGGGTGGGTCGCTCCTTGATTTGTTTTTTATTACTGTTATGTAACCTACTTTACAGAATATTTTCGAATTGATGCATAATCAACTACTTTTATAGTATCCTGTGTAGAAATTAAAAATAGGCTTTAATAAGGCCCTGAATAGATGCCTCTTCGCAAGTGAGGCGCAAACTAGGAAAATTCGTCAGGACCTGTCTAATTTCGTCACGCTTGGATTATCAGGAAAAATAGACAGGTTCTAACTAGATCGCCTTGTCAGTGCCTGAGTAGAATATCAGAATGTGTGAATTTAACTAGAGGCATTCTAGCCAGGGCCTGATTGAAATATTTAAAAGGGACATAAATAGATCCAGTTAGATTTCCCTATCTGAAAAAGAGGGCATTCTAGTCAGTGCCCGATTATCACCTATCTAGAAATTTCTAGTGTGGTTGGCCTTACTAATTCCTCATCAGCGCCTCTTTTTCAAATAAGGCGAAGTAGAGAAATTTCTACACGGGATTTAAAATATTAATTTTCTTTCTTGGATTTGTTATAATTTATAAATTTGTTTTAAATACATAAAGATATATAACTGAATACAATGTAACAATATGAATAATATATTAATAACAAATGCAATATGATAAAAGTTATAAAGATTTAAAAAAAATTTGTAGTTCAGGTTGGTCCTTACAGTCAAGGTCGGCCATGTTTAAAATTCAAAGAGCATTAATCGTTAAAAAATAAAATAACATGTTTGAAGTTACGGAAAATTGATTCTTTATTGTTTACAACTTGTAACTTAATGAAATAACAAAATAATAAAAAAAAACAATATAAAAAAATAAATATAAATAAAAAAAAAAATTTACATTGAAATAATAATAAAATCAGGGACCGCTTCTAAAACGAAACTAAATAGAAATTACTTTCGTTTTAGTATTTGAGTTGACACGAAACTAAATTAACAAAGTGACTTTAGTTTCAAGTCGACACGAAACTAAAGTAACAAAATGAGTTTAGTTTCGTGTCGACTCAAAACAAAAGACTGAAACACATAATTATTTAGTGTCAATCACAGAAAAATTGTTTCCCTTGTCATCCGTAACTAGAGCAACGTAAGTAATTAATGTAAGTTACGTAACCAGAGTAAAGTACGTAACTACAGTAACTAGAGTAAATTGCGTAACTACAGTAACTTGCGTAAATGGCCAAACTTACGTAAGTTACGTAACTAGAGTAACTTACGCAATCAATCAAACTTACACAAGTTACGTAACTTACGTAAATGGTGGAATTTACACCGTCAACTCAAATAATCACATTTACGTAAGTTACGTAACTTACATAAATGGTCAAAATTAGTTCATTTACACAATTAATCAAACTTACGTAAGTTACGTAACTTACGTAAAATGGTCAAATTTACTTAAATTTGTAATCAATCAAACTTACGTAAGTTACGTAACTTACGTAAAATGGCCAAATTTACTTAATTTTGTAATTAATCAAACTTACGTAAGTTACGTGAGTTTGATTAATTGCGTAAGTTATTCTAGTTACGTAACTTCCTTTAATTATGTCAATTACTATAGTTACGTAATTTACTCTGGTTACATAACTTACATTAATTACTTACGTTGCTCTAGTTACGTAAGTCAGGGGAAACAATTTTTCTATGATTGACACTAAATAATTATGTTTTTCAATCTTTTGTTTTGAGTCGACACGAAACTAAATCTAATTTATTAATTTAGTTTCGTGTCAACTCAAACACTAAAACGAAATTAAACTTTCGAGACGGTCCCTGAATAAAATTAAATAAAAATATTAATAATATTATCAATTATATTATGAGTTATTCAGAATTGCAGTTTTTGCAAATGAACTAGCTCGTCCTCATCTTTGCGCATTTTAAACACAAAGTGACCGACCTTGACAGAAAGTAAAATTACCGAATTGTTGTAACTATGAAGCAATACGTTTCGGGATTCGATTTTTTACAGTGATTTTCTTTCAAACTTGAGTCCCACAAAATTTCTGCATGCTTGCCTTGACAATTCAATTTTTTTAAAATCTTTTATTAATGGTTTTTCACATGATGCACAAAATTTTTTTTGAGCTTTTTTTGTACCGACGTCACAGAAAACACAATTTTCGATTCTCCGAAAATGTAATTCAACAAAAAGTTAGGATCCACTAAGACAAGCTTGAATCAAAACTCGTCTGGGAATGCCGAAGCGTACTAGATGAGTTGGGTTCAGCAAATAGACTTTCATTGATTTGGGTACCGGGTCACTTGGGAATCAAGGGTAATGAAAGAGTAGACGTCTTGGCGAAAATCGGTTCCGAGACGAAATTTATAGGTCCTGAACCAGCAGTGGCAATAATGCCATGCTTGGTTAAGGGAGCCATAGAAAGATGGGGTGAAAAGGAACATGAGAAGTATTGGTCGAACGTTGGGGTGGGAAGGCAAGCGAAAACTCTGTTGGGGTTAGCACTCAACAAGAGGCGAGCGAGCGATCTCCTAAAACTCGATAAGATCAGAGTTAGAACCGTAGTTCGTCTACTTACGGGTCATGGACTATTGAACTACCATCAGCATAACATAGGCAGACAAGTTTCACCTATGTGCAGACTGTGTGGGGAAAGTAACGAAACTTCGACTCACATATTATCTGAATGCCCAGCGTTAGCTAGGATCAGGCTATCTAGCTGGGGTCAAGCAATTATTGACCCTAAGCAGGTGAGCAACCTATCGATAGAAGAGATACTGGACTTCTGGAGAAGAACAGGACTCTAAGAAGTTGCTATAAACGAGCGAACTGGAGTCTGCAGAGGGATTCTGTCAAGCACAACGTTAAGTAGCACCGTGCTAACTAATTGTAGAAGCTATGTTCAAGCATTTGAAACATAGCGCCATATAGTGCTATATAGTGCATTTTGCTATTGAGAAATAGTAGAACACATATTTTTAATTTGTTAATGCTAATTAGCCTGATAATATTCTAATATTATTTTTATTTTAAAAGTAATGTAAGATTTTAATCTTACATTACATCTTACATTAAAAATAAATTTAGTGCTACTATATAGCGATGTGGCAAGGATATGTTGTCAAATTGCTACGAGCATCAATTGTTTACAGTTAAATTCTGTGTCTACAAAGCTTTGTGCTATCATAGCGATTACAAACATTTAACCTTAGAAAATTAAGGTCAAAATATGTTTTAAATTGACAAAAAAAATTTTTAATTCGTTTGTGTATCCGTTACGAATTTCAATAAAGATTTTAATTTTTCTAATAATTATAGCCAAATCTGGGTAATTATTAGGACTAGAATTGTTTTCACGCCAGGGCACCTTAAAAATGAAAAATTAAGAGAATTTAAATTTTCCCTTTCCTCCATTTCGAAAATTCGGAGTACTTTTGCAAAGGACCGACAAAATAGGTTTTTTTTTTTATTTTCGAAAAAACCAATGAAATAAAACACTTAAATTAACTATAAATGAAAATAAACCGCAGGATGTGACTTATTAAAACATGTAGATTGATAATAAAAATAAAAAATTAAGATTTTTTTCAAAAATTACTAAATTGCGATTGTCTTTAAAACTAAAATCGACAAAATGGATCCTTTTCATGGGGACATCCACATATAGTAAGTTAAAACTGCTTAAAAAAGAAAAGATTGTAAGTGGAGAAAAGCAGGTTTATAAAAAATGTAAAAGTAAATTTTTCGTTTTTTAAAAATTTTTATTGCAAATTTTATATTAATACAATATATAAAATTGTATTTATTTTATATTAATACAACATTAACAATGAGTTAATTTGGCTCGTATCGACAAATTAAAAATTTAAGAAGCCAATCAAAAAAAATCGCCAGATGGGCGATAAATCGCCAAGGTTGGCAACGCTGAAATAAATCTATTCTACTGTCTTTTTATAATTGAAAAATTTAAATTTGAAACAAAATTGCGAAAATAGATTGAATTGTAAGAATTAGTATCACAACAGTAAAGAAGAAAATGGTTCTCATTAAAAAATATCGTATTCGATTATTCTGGAGATTCTGGAGAATTTAATGAATTCAAAAGGTTTTCGGACGTTTGAATTATGACGTTTAAAATATTATTTAATGTATCTCTGATTTCCGTTTGGACTGTCATTGCTTCTTCGTGCATTTTTCGAAACTCCAAAATCTTTTCATCTTGAAGCTAAAAAAGAATAAACAGGAATTAAATACTACTTCAGAAAAGTTATAATTAAAGGTAAAATAAAATATATTAGGCATATTTTGGTTACTAATAATATAGTTAGTTAATATTATTATATAATATTTATGCAGTAATTGTAATAATAATAATTTAGTGCAAAAAATTATAAAGAAAAAATTGTTGTGTAATCTCGTATTAAAATGTGATACACTGGAGCTTCACTTATTTTCAGTCTCACTTATTTACAGTCGCACTTATTTTCACCATTTCCAGTCTCACTTATTTTCAGTTAAAAGGTTCTCCGTGCGTTCTCATTGGTTGATGTAAAAGAATCCACCAATCAAATCAACTCGAATGTTACGTTTCAGAGTGAAAATAAGTGCGACTTTGCCTTTCAGTTTGTTTGGACTTAGTGAAAATAAGTGAAGCTCCAGTGTAGTTTGAATTTACAAAAATTTGATAATTTATTTATTCTTAACATCAATTAATGAATTCGAATTTGAATTTTTGCTAGACACTCAATATTTCAAAAATTTTGTAAAATCTTTCCCACTTTCAGTGAATATCACATTATCTATATTGTTGCTATAAAATAAATTATAGTGTAATGTTTGTAAAATCAAAACCTTCATTTTAAAAAGAAAGGGATGGTACAATGACAAAATTGTTAATATTTTGGAAAGACATTTCAAAAAATCAAAACAAATTAAGCATGTCAAAAACGGGGATGAAAAAAGCAAAAATCCTACAAAAAAATTTAAGAATATGTATAGTATACAATCTGTAGATTATGAAAAAAGTATGAATAATAAATGATATACATACTGAAGAGGAAGACGAATTTTTTAATTTCTGTAATAAAACAGCACCTCTGGTTTTCTTAGGATTTGTAGATACAGAAGGGTTCTGATTTTCTGTTTTCCTTAAGTTGGCAGCACCTTCCACAGAGAGCTCCTAAACATGGAATAAAATTGATTATTGGAAACAAATTTTAAAAAACATAATTTACTTTTCAAATTTTTAATTTAACATTCTTTTTAAATTATTAGGAACGTAAAATTTAAATATTTGACAGGTTAATAAACAGGGTTGCCACAAATTTCTCTGACTTTTCCCTGATTTCCAGAATAAGAATTTTTTTAAAATAAATATTTAATTATTATTATTTTTCTATAGGAATTAAGATTCTCAAATTCAATAACTTATAAGAATATTATTATAAAATATGATAAAATCGAGCACTCCGAGTCTTTGACTCGGAGCCAGAGTGATAAAATCATTATTTCTTATCAAAAGAATATTGTAACTAAAAATTCAAATTTTCAAAAATTTTAGTTTTAACTCTTTTCAAAATTCAATTATTTCTAAAAATTCACGCTATAATGCTTTTAATATTCAATTATAATTTAACATTTTAAGAAAAATTCATTTTTTAATCAATTTTTATAGGTTAATTTCCCGAGAATTTAATTATTTAAATACAAAAATAAATATTTTATTCAATAATTGCATGTTTCTTAAAATTTAATTTTTATGAAGAATTTTATCAAAATTTTTAATTACAATTGAATTCTTTCGACAAATTTAAAAAAAATATTGTAAAAATAAATGCAATTTTCTGTCATTTTATTTAAAATTGTAAAAAAATAATTAAAATTCTGCGATAAGTTTTCTTATTTATGAAAATAATTAAATTCTTGCAACGAATTTTATTAAAATTGAATTCCCCTGAAGAATTTTATTTTTAAAAATAATTGAATTTCGGAGAAAAATATTATTATTTATGAAAATAATTAATTGCTTGTGAAGAAATTTATTCAAATTTTTTTAAATAGTTGAATTTTTCAGAATTAAACAAAAAGTTTTCAAAATAATTTGAATTAAATTTCATTAAAAAAAATTGAAAATAATTGAAATCTGACTGAGAATGAAAAAACAAATTTTTATTTAAGTTAAAACAAAAAAGACACAAAAATTCATAATTTTCTTATAAATTCTAAAAATTTAATTTTTTTCAGTACTTTTAAAAAAATTGCTGACTTCCCTGACCAATTCTAATTTCCCTGACTTTTCCCTGAATTCCCTGACTTGTGGCAACTCTGATAAAGTGATTTAGTTTAAATGAAAAATAAGTAATAAAAACTCTTAAAAAGAATTTATCAGTTATCTGTAATCTATAGATCTATAAATACCCTTTTTTTGGGCGGTGGAACAGTTTCAAAGTCAAATTCCTCTTCTGAAGAAACATTTATCGGTATGTTAGAACTACTATTGAGATCTATTATTTTTGGTTCCAAGACCGGTTGACGGTGTTCATTCTTAGATTCTTGTGGTGGTGGTGTTGGAACTTTACGTTTTTTAGGCCTAGGTTCATCATCGAAATCAACAGCTTCAGTCTACGAAATCGAGAAATAAGAGAACATTTTACTTAAAATTAAAAATTAAAATTGTTTGTAACTTAAACATGATTTCTTCTAATTTTATAATACTTAAATATGATACCATAATAAAATCATTATTTTATATTACAAGAATATTGTTACTGCAGGGTGGACAAAAATTTCAGTTCATCAATTTCCTTGACGTTTTCTTAAAAATTAATTTCAGTTAAAATTTTAGATAATAATTGAATATTAAATGCAATATAGCGTGAATTTTTAGAAATAATTGAATTGTGAAATGAATTTTTTTAAAAAAAATTTAATTGAATTGTTTTTATTTTCTAATATATATTTACTGACATTAAAATTATTTTCCCTGACAAAATATTTTTACAGGAAAATCTGAAAGTTTACAGAAAATGAGTAGGGGAGAGTGGGGCAAACCGGTCATACCTATGGTTTTTTTACTCTTGTGACTAAACGAATCAACCGATTTCATTTTTCGATGGCTTGTTTGAAAGATCATTTAATTGCGCAACTTTTTCCCAGAGACACCTATACTTTATCTTTTATTGTTTAGTTGCTGTGTTAACTTTAAAAAAATTTGCAAATGGTCCGGTTTGCCCCACTCCCTGGGGTTAACCGGACCGTTTGGTTTTTTATTTATAATATTGCATTTACATAATCTACAATAATAAAAAACAAAGAATCATGTAAACAATGGTTGTAGTGATGAAAATAATAATACGGGATTGAATTTTAATTAAATAAATATTTTTTAATAAAAAAATATAAATGTTTGTCATTACACGATTCATGATCTACAACCCACACAGCACATGATATTTCCTGAATACTTCCTGAATATTTCACTGAAAGATTGAAATATTTCATTGCAAGATTCAGGAAATATTTCTGCAAACAGGAAAATGTCCGCTTATGTAGGAATATTGACGCGAAAATTGAGAAAATATTTCATTGAAATATTCCTGCAATATTACACATAAAGATTCTGCAATATTGTGAAAATATTTCAAAAAATGGAAAAATTTGTTAAACACCTCAAATCAATAGGAATTTTCTGAAATATTTTAAAACCCATAGGATATAGTAAGCCAAAAACTACTGCGCAACTCTACAGGCCATAGAAACTGAGTTCGACCAGTGCGCATCATTTCAGTTGAATATTTCCAAAATATTTCAATGAAATATTTTCTCAACTTTCGCGTTAATATTCCCACATAAGCAGACATTTTCCTGTTTGCAGAAATATTTCCTGAATCTTGCAATGAAATATTTCAATCTTTCAGTGAAATATTCAGGAAGTATTCAGGAAATATCATGTGCTGTGTGGGAATTTGCAACTAAATTTCATTTCTGAATCAATTAATTTAAATAGTTTTCGAAAAGTTCTTCTAGAATTAATTTATTTAAATACAAAAACTAAATTTTATATAATTGTAACTCTCTTTAATTTTTTCTTGAGTTATTTTGAAAAATTTTTGAAATATAATAGTTTTTGAACTTTGAAAATTTTTCAAACAATTAAAAATATGTAATTTTTTTTTAAATAATTAAATTTTTGAAAAATATAAAAAATTGATCAAATTTTTGAAGAATTACTATAAATTGTGATAAAACAATTCTAATAATTAGTTTTTAAAAATATTTTAATGTTAATTTTTTGGAAATAATTAAATTTCTTGAAAGAATTTTAGTACCTATAATTTAAGAAAACTAATTAATTTTTTGATGAATTCTAATTTAAAATTTTGAACATGATTGTTTTCTCTAAAATGTTAAAAATAATTCTAAAATATCATTTTTTCATGTATTTGAAGTTTTGAAAATATGTAATTGAAAATACTGAAAATATTTAATTTTCAAAAATTAGAAAATAATTTTCATTTATTTTCATTTTTAAATTTAGCTTTAACCCGTCAGCAGTCGCGCCTTTTTTAGTGTCTCACTTGCACACTAAGAGCGCCCTATAGGTCGAGTAGTGTTGCGTGAGACTTTTTCTCACGGCGCGACTGCTGACGGGTTAAAGATTTTTTATAACAATTTTTTCTTTTTCAATTATTTTCAAAATTTGCAATTAAAATTCTACAAAAATTGATTTTTAAAAAATTGGAAATATATACTTGAAATAAATTAATTATTTTCAATTAAATTTTATCAAATTTCTACTATTCAAAAAGATATTTATTATTGATATATTACAGATTGAATTAAGTTAAAATAATTAAAAAACAATTTTTGAAAGATTTGTTTATATAGTTATTTTTTGCATTGTAAATATTAAAATAACTTGCACTTTTTTACTAAAAATTAGGGTATTTTTTTGCAATATTTGGAAGAAAAGTCGAAAAAGTCACAATTTTTGAAAATACGTCAAAAAAAGTCTCAATTTTCCTAATTTCCTGGATAAAAATTTTTTCCTATCATTTCCCTGACTTTACTGACAAACATTTTGTTTTCCAGACTTTACTGTGGCGACCCTGGTTACTGTAATTTCTTCCAAATCATTTTCATAATTCCAATTCACTTATTATTTTCGAGAATTATTAACTAATATTCTTCTTTAAATCAATTATTTTTTATCATTTTCGAAAAAGTTCTTTTATAATTTTTTCCATTCCAAATTTTCAATTCTATTTCTTTACAATATTCAATTTTACGAAATTTCAATTAGTCGTAAATTCTTTAATTACATATATATTAGAAAATAAAAACAATTTAATTAAATTTTTTCAAAAAAATTAATTTCACAATTCAATTATTTCTAAAAATTCACGCTCTATTGCATTTAATATTCAATTATTATCTAAAATTTTAACTAAAATTAATTTTTCAATGAATTTTTTTTAGAAAATTCTACTAGAATTCAATAATTTAAATACAAAAATAAATAATTGATTAAATAATTGCATGTTTCTTAAGATTTAATTTTTATGAAGAATTTTATCAAAATTTTTAATTACAATTGAATTCTTTTGACAAATTTTATTTTAATTTAATTTACATTTTTCAAGAAAGTCGATTAAAAGTGTATTAAGAACAATTGAAATTTTACGATGAGTTTTATGTGAAAATAATTGAATTCATAAGAAGAGTTTTATTATATACAAAAACAATTTATGAATATAATTAAATGTTTGCGAGTATTACTTTAAAAAATATTTGAAATTCTGCAATCATTTATAATTTTTTAAAATTATATTACACAATTTATTAACTTTTTGTCCTTTTTTAATTAAATTGCGGACTTAACCGACGTTTTTTTTTAAAAATGACTTACGGACGTAAGGCGAAGTGACGGACCTAGTTCGAGCCCTATCATTATCAAATCAATGCACGGGTTAAACCGTAAGGATGTTAAAGACAATATTTTGGGAATATAAAATGTTTCATAATTTAACATGTCTACTTACGTCACTTTCAAAGCCTATCTCCTCTGTTTCTCCATCTCCTTCAACAGATGTTCTCCCTTTAAGGGCGTACAGACGTTCCTCCAAATCTGTCAGTGTTGTGCAAGTTTTCAGTAGATTCCCTTTTCCGGTGGATTTTTTGATTTTCTTTAATTCAGCAACCTTATTCTTCACCTTGCTTACCCAAGATCCTAAAACCTTTTAAAATACAATTTGAAATTTAAAAAATATAAAAAATAAGCTGTAAATGTACGAAATATCTATTCTCAATTGTTTTATAGTCTTAAATTATTCTAAACTATTTTTTTGAAGAAATAAGTAAAAATTAATAATTATAAGTAAAAACTAAACTACTAACTTACTAATTAAGTAAAACTGTTAAAAAGAAAGAAGTTAATTTTTTTTAATTTGTATTTACTCTCTGCCATTTTTCAGATTCCCTGTTGTTATCAGACATTTTGTTCAAGTTTTCTGTCAGTTTGGCCCACTCCTGATTGTAAAGAACTTTAGAAAATGCTCGAGTGAATTGCTTCGTTAGTAAAATTGGGTTCTCTTCTATACAGGAAAGTAAATAAACCTGTTGTTTATATTTGATTCTTCCAACTCTAATCTTCTTACCGGTTTTGGTATCAACATCTTCGTCACTCACTGAAATAAAAATTAACGTTAAAATTTAGCAAAATTACAAAACAAAATTAAAAGTTTTTCCTTTTTCTAATAAAATAACATTTGTAAATTACTTTTATTACTTACTGGTTTAAGTAAAAATCTGGCAACGTGGAAAAATAGAAAATTTGTTATGACTGTGCACTGATGAAAATAAGTAGTAATAGTAAAAAACTGTCACTTTATGAAACTGAAGTTTCATAAAGTGACAGTTTTTTGTTTCTTTCCATATTCTTCTATCAAAAGAGAGAGAGAGTATATTAAGTATATTTTTTTTTCTATTTAAATAGAGAAAGACAAACATTTATAATAACTTTGAGAAACATTGTTATTTGATTTTCTAAAATTTGTAAATTATAGTTCATTAAATCAATCGAAAAGAAAATTCATTTCATAAAAAGAGTATAAAATCTTTATAAACACTACAGTATATTAAAACAATAAGAAATAACAACCTAAAGTAAAAGAACAATTATTCTATCTATACATAGTTCCAGTCATAATAATAATTACAATTATTATTTAATTAATGTATTAATACTGTGAATTTTCTCAAACACATTAATATATAAGAGAAACATTTTGTAAACAAATGTTTCATGATCACAGTGCCACATTAGCGTAGAACAATAGCACGTGATCGCGGAAAAGCACATTTCAATTTTAAGGTTAAAAGAAAAGATTCTCTGCGCATGACTTTTGAAGGCCTTTGACGCATGGTAGATTCTTAAAGGCCTTTCTCCAATATTATGTTCTTAAAACTCTGCGTTGCTACGGTTGCTATTATGGGGAATCCACACTTACCCAGTCGCTCCGCTTTTCCGTGGCGGAATCTCTATCTTTTTCTATCTCACGCAAAGCGCCACGGAAAGCGGAGCGACTGGGTAAGTGTGGAATCAACATTACGCAGACTTTTGGGATCCTATTGGAGAAAGAGCATATTGAAATTACTCTATATACCTTGATATGTTGCTATGGAAACTTTGGACGCAAATTTAAAATAATTAAAAGTCAAGTTATGTTAATAAAAAGTTACTTTAACTGTATAAATAAATAATTCTTAGTTATAAAAGAAGATTTATATTTTTGTAATTTTTTTCTTGCTTTCAATGTTAAGAATTTCTTATATCCTTCAATGTTAAAAAAGTATTGAATTGTGTAAAGGTAAAAAATTGTCTTTGTTTAAGTTTTAAAAATAATTTAAATATGTTACTCTTTCAAACAAACTATTAGTTTATACATGGGTGCGATTTTTCTAAAAATGATACTTTTAAAATTCAATTTTTCAATTTATTTATTTTTTAAATTATATGGTTTTTTCTATTAAAACTAATTTATTTCACATGGGTGATTATCCTGAAAGGGACTCTTTTTTGCTTCAATTTCCAAAACAAATTATTCTTTTTCATAAATAAGTTAAGAAAATATTTAAAATTAAAAATATAAGTTGCGCAAAATTAATTTTCAGAAACATTACCTCCATCAAAATTTGATTATCGTATATTCTAGAGGTTAAGTATAATTAAGTATTTAGTATGATTAATATTTATTACTTAATTTACTAAACTTCTTGCTTGTATTCTTTTATTAAATAAATAATAATTTAATTTAAGTGTTACATATGGGGCGTTCTACGTCAAACGGACAACCTCATACTTCTAATGGAAAAAACTCTATTTTCAAAATGCTATTATTTCTATTATAATGCATGAAATAAAAATAATTAATTTTTCATTAAAAGTAAATATTTTAAGGGTAAGTCCAAGGTGTGAAATGTAAACAAACCAAAAGGTAAACAAACCAAACACAAAAATCGCACTTTTGTAACAGACGTTTCTCTTACAAAAATTAACATTTTTACACTTTCTCTACAAAAATGGAAAATTAGAGTTTCAAAGTGTCCAAAAAAATCATTTTTGGCTATGAGCAATAAAAAGCAATTAGTAAAATAACTAATTAAAATGACCTGTAAAATAGCATTTTTGACGCGTCGCGAAAAATAAGCTGTTTGAGTATATCAACCGCACGGATGATGAAGAAGTCTTATGTCAGCGATTGGACCTTCAACATGTGGAAAGGGAAATTTTTCCCTTTCCTCCTTGAAATTACAAGAGAAAGGGTAAAAACTTCTTCATCGTCCGTGCGGTTGATATAGTCAAACACTTGAATTTTTCGCGATCTGAGACTCTGTTGCTCTCTGCGCAAGCGCAGAGCGTACTAAGAATGCATTGACAGCACCATGTGGAAGTGCACATTTTCTTTTGAATAAAACTTAGTTGTTTTCTCATTTTTTTCAGCTATGCAAGGCGTAGTAACCAAATAGAATACGTCAGTTCACCATTTTCATAAAGAAAATGTGAATTCATATTTATGTACGAAAATGAGACCTCGTGCAAAAATGCTTCAAAATAGCGCATAATGAAGCATTTTTGCACGAGGTCTCATTTTCGTACATAATTGTTGTTTCAAATTTCTAAATAGCACTTTTCATACCTCAGGCACAAAATAGGCGCTTTTAGATAGCAGCCGACAGGAACTAAAAGCCATTCATTTGTCAACTTGAATAAAAATGGCGACCTTTTTTTCCCATGGGCAAAAAAACAGCTGGTCCTATGCGTTATATTTTGCTCATGGGAAAAAAGGCCGCCATTTTCATGCAAGTCAAACAAGTGAATGACTTTTACTCCCTGCCGTCAGCTATCTGAAATCTACGGAAGCGCCTACGCGCCACAAGGCAAAGAGAGGAAACCTGTTTCTGCTAATGTCGTTTTAGCTTGTGAAACATAGGAACACGTTCGATGGTTCGCTGGTTCGGTGGTTCGATGATGTGATTGTTACTAAATAAAAAATTTAAAATAAGAAATAAAAATGAACCAAATTAATTTAAATTGACAATTTTAATGTAATAAAATATTTGTTAGGTATTATTTATAACAGATATTAATTACGAGATAAATTAGGTGTTTTAAAAAATCATATATTTTGAGGTTATAAAATGTTACCACATTTAAGGCCTAATGTTGACCTTTTTTCATTACTTTTTCATAACACATTTTATAATCTCAAAATATACCCAGGTTAAAATCCCCGTACAGGATCCCGACCGGATTCCGTGCAGGAAATTGAAACAAGGTTCCTGTGCAGGTTCCGATGCAGGAACCTTAGCTATCAAAGGTTCCTGTAAAGGTTCCTGTACAGGAACACTTGCAGGATCATATACAGGAAACTTTGTATAGGTTCCTGCACAGGAACCTTTACAGTTTTGTAAACTGCTGGTACTTAAGTATAAAAGATCCTGTAAGGAACCCGTAAAGGATCCTACACAGTTTCCTCAATTAATTTATTTATATTTTTAACTCCTGTGCAGTAGTTTTCTATGAGTTTCTCGAATGCGCAATACATTTTTCTGTCCAACATTGTTATACGAGCCTAACATATTGAAATATGAAGTCTATATATGTCAAATGTTGCTTAACATATAAAAATTAAAAAAATTAAAAAGTTTCCTGTACATGATCCTGCAAGTGTTCCTGTACAGGAACCTTTGATAGCTAAGGTTCCTGCATCGGAACCTGCACAGGAACCCTGTTCCAATTTCCAGCACGGGATCCGGTCGGGATCCTGCACAGGACCTGCACAGGATCCTGAGAGGATTCTTTAAGGATCCTGTACGGGGATTTTAACCTCGGTATGATTTTTTTAAAGCACCTAATTTACCTCGTAATTAATATCTGTTATAAATAATATCTAAAAAATATTTTATTACATTAAAATTGTCGATTTGAATTAATTTGGTTCATTTTTATTTCTTATTTTAAATTTTTTATTTAGTATAACAATCACATCATCGAACCACCGAACCAACGAATTATCGAACGTGTTCCTATGTTTCACAAGCTAAAACCACATTAGCAGAAACAGGTTTCCTCTCTTTGCCTCGTGGCGCGTAGGCGCTTCCGTAGAAATCGCCACTTTTGTGCCTTTGGATTAAAAATATCGTAAGTAACACGGGACTTAAAGGCTGCCAATTTATTTACGATGATTTTTGTGCCACTCGTTACGGTCTCGGGGTGCCTACGGCGCCCTCGACCTCCACTCGTGTCACAAAAATCACCGTAAATAAATGGCTACCTTTACGTACCTTGTTGCTTAATATACTATTTGACAATTTCGCCATTTCGGAAATATTGACATCTGACCGGTTTACCCACCGGGCCGGTTTAACGTAATTTTTACAATTATTTTCAGAAATTGTATTTTAAATTTACTTCATACGTTTATTAAATGTGACTTCATTTAGCATAATGTCGTTACAGATGTTTCCTGCTCAATTGGCTTTTGCAAATTATAATTTCAATGAAGAAATTAGGTTAAAAACCATCAGGAAAAATGCATTTAAGAAAATTCATATCGAAAATTTGTCTCTAAGAATGTCAAGCGACCCATTCTGCCTGCCTGATAGTCGGTTTATTGAGCTCTTTAGATTAAGTAAATCTATTGTCCAGTATCTAGTAATGGAATTAAAACCGCGTATGAAAATTTCGGGACGTTATAACGCAATTGCTCCCGAGTTAAAAATATTTGCGGCTCTAATATTTTATGGCACCGGTACTTACCAGAGAGTAACTGGACAATGCTATATGACGTGTATGAGCCAGCCGATGATAAGCCGAGCAATCCAAGAAGTTACTTGTTTGATAAACTCACACCTTGTAAAAGAATTCATTAAATTTCCAAAGAGCCGTAATAGACGACAAGAAATATCGAACTCATTTGAAAGAATTGTCAAATTTCCAAATGTTATAGGCCTAGTCGATTGTACTTTTGTCACTATGATAAAACCACATGAAGAGGAACACAATTATGTAAATCGGCATAATAAACATGCAAAAAATGTGCAAATAGTAAGTTTAAAATAATAATTAGGAACATCGCATTGTTAACAAAATTATATTTAGAAAAAAAAAATATATATATATATATATATATATAAGGCTCATCAAGCCAAGAGACTTGAAGAGCATATAAATTGAAACAGAATTTTATCGTCATTTGATAGTACCCGAGCGAGGGGGTAATTACTGGTTAAAATGGTGTACACTCTAATACACTAAATTTTTCTGCTATTACGCGTACTATCTAGTATTATAAGGTATTACAGAACTATTACAGGGTATTACTGATTATTACAGAATATTACCTCTATATTATGTGGTATTACACAGACGTAATAATGCTCTATTACACTCTATTACGTGACTATTACGGGAGGAGCGTACACGCTAATACACAAGTAAAAACCCCCTTGTACCCGAGTGGAAATTTAAACTCTCTTTTGAGCCTGCTAAATAGTAAATCAAACCTCTTTTAAACTTGCTTACTTCTCAAAACCCTCCTTTCACTCTTATCTACTCTCTTTTTAACCTCTTTTCAACATCTATCAAATTGTTATAAAAAATTTGGAACTCTCTTTCTGTTCACTTTTAAGAACTCTTTTCATTCTTCTATAATATGCATCGAAATAAGATGAATCCTCCTAAAACAAGAATATTATAAAGTATGTCTGAAAATAAAAATTTTCAAAAAAAGTCAAATTTGATCAATTTTGTTCGAGTTAGTGTTCAAAAAAATTTATATAATTTTTCAAAAATGTGTATATTTTAAATGGTTTTATAAAAAAAATTCGAAAAAAATCATTGAATCTCATTTCAACAAGCCCTATATATTATACTATAAAATTTTAAAAGTACTTACCCCTATAGATAATACAAAATTTAAAACAATTAAAAAATTACAACGGGTTAAAACGAAATAGATAGGGATTGAACTTTACCACATACAAAATAAAAAAAATTAACAATTCTGTAGAAAGTTAAAAATTTACAATTTTTCTTTCCGCTTCTTGTTGGAACGTTTAAAAAAGTAGACATAATTCGAATATTATTACATTCTACTTGAAGAATTATTTAAATTTTTGTAGATATGTGATCATGAACTGCGAATCATAAATGTCAATGCTTCACATGCAGGAAGTACTCACGACAGCTTCATCTGGAAACATTCCGCTGCAAGACAAGAATTAAACTTAAGTTATAATGAAGGGCAACCTTGGAAAGTGTTAGGAGACTCAGGGTATCCTTTAGAACCATGGATTATGACACCTGATTTGGGTGCACCGATTGGTTCACCCGGATACAGGTATACTAAAGCACATGCGAAAACAAGAAACGGCATTGAAAGATGTAATGGGGTATTAAAGAGCCGATTCAGAAGCATTAAAGAAGAAAGAGTATTAAGGTACAAGCTTGTATTTGTCGGAAAATTAATAAATGTCTGCTGTGCGTTGCACAACATGTGCAAAGATGCAGGACTTCCTGACTTTCCTATAGAAAGTAGAGGATTTCAAAATCACCCTCCTTTACAGAGGCAAAGAAATAGACTGTTTCTTGAAGGTATGCATATCAGAGAAACTATTATAAACACGTATTTTCGGTAAATTTAATAGAAGATTGACTATACCGACTATTGTATTATTATTACAATTCTCAATAATATTCAATTATATTCAAGTTAAATTCTACGAAATGATTTCGGTGTATTAACTGGAATCTTATGTAAACTACGCGTGTAAATGTACATTTACAATATTCAATTATATTTCTCATAATATACATCTTATTCATTAAAACTTTAAGAATATCGCTCTTCGCAACTTGTACGAAAAATCGTTTTATTATAAGTATTATTCTATTTTCGTAATTTACATTTATATGTTCCTAATTTTTCCAATGTATAAAATATTCTTAAATCGATTATTTAATATTTTGTAAACCTAGGCTTCGTTCGCAAAAAGACATTGAAGATGTAATTTACAATACAAATACATTCTAAAATTGGAATCTATTACTTTGTGTAATAAAATTTAAGTTCCTACTGATTAATTTTTAAACTGTTACAATAAAAAAAAGTTATTTATTTCATATCTACTTTTTTATTATAGTAAAAAAATTTCTTCTTAAAAAAACAAAAATTGGCCTTCACATTAATATAATTTTCAAATATTTTCATAAATATTGGTAAAATGTATTCTTAAATAAATTAATCGATTCGTTTTCTTGTCAAGAATATAATTTTGACAAGAATTGATTAAAGGTTTTGTAAATAAGAGAAAAGTTATTTTAAAAAATACAAACACCAATTTTTTTTAAATTAAGAAATTGGTGGAAAAAAATTTTAGTAGATATTTTTGGAAATTAAGAGAAAAGTAAAGAGTAAAGAGAAAAGTTATTTTAGAAGATATTTTTGTAAATTGTAAACTATTGTTATCAAACCTGATTTGCAGAAATAATGAAATAATGAGTTTTAAATGTGGTAGAAATTTTAGAACACTTTGCCATGCTAAATTTTAAATCATTCAACTTCAAACCTCAGCTTCTACATGCGATTATTTTAAAAATGAAAAATTCCAACCACGATATCTCGTTTTTTGATATGGCAAAGTGTTTTGAAATTCTTATCACATTTAAAGTGTACACAAAGAAAAATTTTCTCAAACTTTAAAGAAAATTTGTAAAAAATCGATTTTTTCAAGAGTATAGCAGCCGGAGAACCTCCTTAAGGAAGCAAAATAGACAATAACATATACCTTTTTTTGAAAAAAAATGTGTGTCCTTATTTGAATGTGATCTATAAATTAGAAATTTAAATCCTCTTTTTTTAAACCTCTTTTGAATCTGAAAACGATGCGGAAAAATTCACATTCCGATGTTTAGAGATTGAAAAGAGGATTTCAAATTTACATTTCTATTTTTTTAAATTAAGATTCTACATACATTAAAATCGTTTCACATATAAATTGATATTTGATCAAATTAAATTTTCTTTCCTTTCGCTTTATATTTCTTTCTCCCCTTTAATAAAATAATAAAGGAAAAACAAAAAACTATCGTATCATATGACACAGAAAATGTTTAATTTGTTAGACATCTCAAATTAAAATTTTTTCTCGATTTGAAATATTTACTTTAACAAGTAAGCAATTTAACAAATAATCCATTTTTCTTTTATTAAAATAAAAATAATTCAAATTTAAAAAACAATATATATTATTTTTAGTGAGTGAAGAATTGTCTAATGGTGAAAAATGTAAAACAGGGAGAGTAAGAAAAATTTATTACAGGCAACTATTGCACTTACTAGAATGCGTTGAAGATAATCCTATTTTATTAACGATGAAATTTACACAATCTTTTACAAGAGATTTATACAATCAAGAATGGGCCAACATTTCTGAAGTACTGAACAAAATGTCAGACAATAATAGGGAATTTGAAAACTGGCAGAAAGTAGCTATATATTTTTTTAAGACTTAAATATTTTGTTTCTTTTATCTTTTATTACTTCATTAAAATTATTGTTTTACCTTCTTCAATGTTATTTTTTTATTTACATTTGTGATTAGAAATTTGTGCTTATTTAAAAAAAAATTAATTTTTTTAATTTCAAAACATCCTTTTAAAATTTATTAAAATGAAATTATCTTTAAAAATAATTTTGGATTTTAAATTATAATTCGAATTTAAAATTTGTTTATATTGAGTGAGTGTGCAAATTGTAGCGGGTGCTTCAATTATGGCAACTTTGTTTATCTTTTATTGCTTTAATTTGTTTAAATAATTAATTTTTATAAAGTTTTTATTAATGTTTTATTGTGTAAATGACGCGGACTTTTAATTTAATAAGTCATAAATTTACTTCTTTTATCACAATTCTCGAATTTACTATTTTAAAGGAGGCTGAACAAAATCCGCGCCATAATTTGTACACTTATCTAATTTAAACGTGTGTGATATATTTTTTTTACGCTTGATAAGAGTTTTAATTATTGAATTAAATTCGGAAAATTATTTAATTTTCTTAACTTGTAGACAATTTCTTTTGGTTTCAAAAGGTTCGCTTTTATTTTATATAGTAAAACATAATAAAGGAATATAACTTCTAACAGGTTTTAGTGTCTTGGGTCAACAAGACAACAAAAAAGTTTAATGAAATAAAAGAAAGTAAACATTTTTTCAATGAAAATGTAATGAAAATTACACCAACCTTGACATCACTTGAAGATAGACTTCTTTTTGTCCAAAAAAAGGAATCGATTAGAGGAGATGGTGTCACACAGGAGATAGGCTTAGATAGTGATGTAAGTGAAAATATTTATTATTTATTCTTCAAAAATAATGAAAACTTCAGTATTTCTTCCTAATTTTTATTTTGGTTTTTAAGTAAAACAATGCTTTTCTCTCTTTTTAAAAATAAACAAATTATTTATTTCCGGGAACCTAACCCCTTGGCTGTCAACGAGATTTCCACTGTTTGGGCCAAAAGTGTGTTGACAAAATTTTGAATAGATTTTTATGAAACTTGGTACCCTAAGGTTTCTGGGGTCGCTGATTACGAAAATGACATAAGTTTTTCGAAATTCAAAATGGCGGATCTAAGATGGCGGAATTCTTTCAAAATTGGTCGAATTTGTTTGTTTTTCGCTCCTTTTCTCTTACAAAAAAAAAGAAATACTCCGAGTTGTCTTGTTAAGAGGCATCTGAAAAAAACGGGTATTTCTTTTTTTGTTGTAAGGTGCATTGGTTCTGTGTTCAAAGTACCTTCTAGTACAAACTAGAAAGTTGACTTTGACTCCCGTTCTACATAAAAATGCAAGATAAAAGGAGCAAAAAACAATATTTTTATGGTGTTTTTATGGTTTTTACCATAAAGATGACTTATTCGCTAATTTTCACTATGATTTTCGTAATCAGGGCACAACATTACGTAAGTATACCAAGTTCCAAAGAAATCGGAGCTATGTTGCTTTCGGTAGTATATCCGTAATAGTTTATCAAATCTTTTTTGAATTTTTTAGCCTGAATTTAATAATGTTAGTCTTGAACCTCGACGACGAAAACGTAAATTCTTAACACTTCAAAAATCACCAAGAATAGTTGTTAAAAATCAATTAAATGAACCCATCTGTGTTTCTTCTGACGAAGAATTTGACTCTGAAAGTTTTCAACTGATGCCTATAGACAAGGTATTAATTTTTACAAAATAACAATTACATTTATTTGATAAATAAAAAGAACTAAATGAAAACTGGAACTTAAAATATTTACCCCCTTTTTCGAACTTTCCATCTACTTCTTATATTTAAAAAATCTTATGTTCTCTCAAGATTTAATTTATTGTCATTGAAATCATCTCATTTTCTGTGAATCCAAGTAAATATTTAGGGAAAAGTAGGGCAAAATGGGGTAAGCGGGTCAAATGAGGTACCCCTGTTTTTCCATGGTGGGTGCTTTTAATTTCTTTATCTTCGATATACATCATTCAAATTGATAAAAAATGTTATTAATTATGAAGACACTATATGAAAAAAAATTTTTCTGAAAGTTATACAACTTCAAAGTTTTAAGCAAAAAAGATATGAATGTTTTTCGAAATTCAAATGATTACAAATCTTTTAGGGATAATCTATTTAATTTCGCAAGTATGGGATCTTTTTCAGCACTTATTGTTGAGTAATTTCCAATAGGATTGATTGTGAAATTGTTTATAATAACTGGGAAACATTACATTTTGTTGTAATATGCAGTGTGGGACTAAATGAGGTATACCTGTGTATTGGGCCATGTCGGGTGCTAAGCCGTTTCATTGAACCTATTTAAAAACATTATATTAGACACATTTCAAAACTTTCCACAGAAGAATCTATATTTTTGTTTCGAGGTATTTATAATATCGATGTTTTACTATCGATATTTTTCATTATCTATGTTTTTTTGTTAAATTGTAATAAATTTTACTTGTTTTCATAATAATAAATAATCCTACTTCTTGTTTCTATTTATAATCTCGTATCACAAGAATTTAACAATTTTTGAAAAACTATTCCACGTTTAGCATCTTCTCAAAAAAATTCGATATAAGTAATTTCAAAAATTATTTTTTTCTCTGCTAATATCAAAATTTTTCTCAAACCTAAAGGTACACTCTCATCTCTGCTGCCTGCCTGCCTACGCAGGCAGGCGCAATGAGAGTGAGAGAGAAAAAACATTTAATTTGAATTTTCTGACTCTCTTACTGTTATGTGTTACCATGACAACCTGCAGGCAGGCAGGCAGTAGGAGCTGTGCTAGCGCCTTAAGAGCGTTCGATGGTCTCTGAAATTTGTAGGTTATGAGCGACCTACACTTTTCGCCCTACAAAAACGGTACTGCCCGGTTTAAATGACGTGAAATTGGTAAACAATCATTTTCGAACGAGTTTTTCTCTGCACACAAGCACTTTTTGCAAAATCTGACAACATACAATTAACACAAATGTTTTTAATTACCTAAATCCAAAATATTTTTTTAATCCATGCAAAAACGCGGTTGCAAAATGGGAAATGCAAAAGCCACAAAAGTAATGTAATGACAGGCGACAAGACGTTTGTTCCAACCATTTGCCATTAGAGGGCAGAAGCATGCAGGGAGCGTAAAGGATCAGCTGTCAAAATGATTCGCATTACGTTACTCTGGCCTTTCCCATTTTGCAACCGCGTTTCTTCAAGGATTAAAAAAATATTTTGGATTTAGGTAATTAAGAAGATTTGTGTCAATGGTTCGGATTCAGATTTTGCAAAAAGTGCTTGTGTGCAGAGAAAAACTCGTTCGAAAATGATTGTTTACGAATTTCACGTCATTTAAACCAGGCAGTGCCGTATTTGTTGGGTGATAGCGGTTTGTCGAATGTAATCTAGAAATTTCAGAGACCGTCGAACACCGTTAAGAGTACAAAGAATAATTCTGATGGTTAGTGGAATCGATTTATTCGTTTGGTTTCTTGTAAACAGCCAATTACAAAAAGGTACCCCTTTTTGCCCTGCTCTCCTCTACAAAATAAATATTTTAGTAGCGAGAAATGATGACTGGATTTTATCCACTTTCATTGTAATTAAATTAAAAATTAAATATTTTTTGTTTTCTAACCCTTTTTTTAAATTAAATTACTTGGTGGTCATTTACAAACTACGCACAACTTGACCCCCCACCCTTAAAAGTAACGTTGTTTGTGAACTACCCCTTAATTTATTAATTATATATTAATAATTATAGGAGATATAACCCTTCATCTGCAGGTCAGAAATGAATAAATTCTTAATTGAAAAAAATATTTGAAAAATTCTAAACTATAATTTCTATAATGCGTAATTAATTAATTATAAATTTTATTATTGTTTTAAATATTTTAGAATAAACTTACCTTCAACTAAGTGCTTCATTACTTTGAAAAATTCGAATTATTACACACAAGAGATGATTCCATTTTAATTCTAAAACATCCAAATATTTCTAAATACATTTCACTTTTATTAAAATTAACACGAATTAAATTATTGTTTTCTTCACATTAACTTTAGTAAAATCCAAATAAGTTAGTCTTTTTTTAAGTTTATTTAAAAATATCTTGTCAATTTCCCTAAAGGGAAAATTACACATAAATGTTCGCTTTTTAAAAACTTAATATAAAAGATATATGGAGCAAATTTACTCATGGGCAAAAATGTATTATTTTACCATTAATATTTTTTTTGTATTAGAAAAAATGACGGCCTTTATTTTCTATTACCTGATATGTAGAAGCGACATTTTATGCTTGTTTGATAAAAACTATTTTAATTTATATCGGTTCGTTAAAATAAATAAATTCGATAACATTTATTTAATAATATATATTTGTTTAAACCATTTTAGCGAAAATATGAACAAACTGTTTCCTCACAAGAAAAAAAAGGCGGAAATGATATTGACGAAAGAAAATCGGAACACGTTGAACAATATTTTGAATGTCATAATTCAAACATCTGAAAATCTTATGTACATTTTTTGCTCTTACGAATAATATAAAGGAAATTTAATTTAACTGTATTTTTGTAAATATAATAAAAAGGGGCTTTATTTAAAATTTTATAGGTATAATTTATTATTTAATGTATAATAAATTACTAGATAGAAAGAATATTGTATCAGTTTAAAACCTATTAGCAATTCAATTTTTTCTATTTCAGATTTAAAAAGAAAATAATTTCTTTTTAAAAAACTTAAAAAGTCATAAGGTCATGTTATTCAGTGTAATGTTTTTTATAGTAAAGTATATGGTGTACATGACTAATATATAACATTACCTTACAGAACTTAATTTAATGATATTCAACATCTACCATTTTAATTAAATTTTCCAAAAGAATAAAAACTTTACTATGGAGAATTAATTCAATTAATTATTACTTCCTCATAGAGGAAGTATTGTAATACCGAAATTTTTCGAGTTCGATTTTTTGACATATCTTTATGTTATTTGACCTCAGGAGTTCAAAAATGACATTTTTAAAAAATGTCATTCCGTATGTGTGTGTGTAAACATCACATTTTCATAAATATCTCGAAATCATGAAGAGCTTTTGGGTTAAATTTTTTTTTAAATTGTAGATCTCACCTGCGGACATAAAATGAGAGTACTTTGAGATAGATTAATAAAGTTTAACTAAACTTTTTTTTGGATTTTTAATTTTGCAAAAAAACGTTTTTTGCCCATAACTTTAAAAAAATGTTAGTACACCTATAAATGTTTTTCCATAATTTTGTAGAGTTTTTTTAGACGCATCTTTTGAGCCCTAATTGAACATTTTTCGCCCATATTAACCGGAGTTATTAAACTTTTAAAAATCAAAAATTTTGGAAAATAAGACTTTTTTGAAAATTCTGTTGAAAAATGTAGAAGTAATCTTAAAATTATCGTTACCGACTTGTAGAGCTTCAAAAAACGCTTCGATTGACCTATTTTTGAACCTAATTCGATAATAAATTTCGAATTTATTGGTATTTTAAAAACCAAAAATTGTGGAAAATGACATTTTCTCAACTTTTTTGTTTGAAAATTTTTGTTTAACTATTAAACTATTATAACTATATTGTAGAGTATTTAAAAATACATTAATTGACCCAAGATTCAATCACTTTTACCATATTTATAAAAAGTTATTCATATATTTCTATTATTTTTATCTTTATGAGGAAGTAAAGTGTTCATGAAATGAGCACCAAAATTATACAAAAAAATATACAACTTGGCAGCGGTTTTTTTAATTTAATTTCAAAATATAATAATTTTTTTTAGCTCAAAAACAATTCCGCAACAGGTTAAAAAACAAACAATCTTAGGTTGAAAGTCAAAGAAGAAAACACAGTTTAATACATTTTTCTCCGTTAAAAGTACCTCAATATTTATACATTTCTTCACAATATTCCAATTTTCTAATAAAAAATATTTTTAAAAAGAATTTTAGTTAAAATTTTACATAATAGTTGAATATTAAAAGTATTATAGTATGAATTTTCTAAAACGAATTAAATTTGGAAAAGGTTTGAACTTAAAAGCTTTGAAAATTTGTATTTTTCATTCTATTTACTAACAATTCTGTAGAATTGAGGGCATCCGGGAAAAATCACCTCCAAAAAGTGTTTTCCCGCGTTTCGTCTCACTGCTAAATAAGTTTTTATAGGTTTGGTTCAGATTTATCATGATAATTAGGGGAATTCGTACTGATATTATAGAAGTGGGCTTTTACATGGTTTTTGACATAGTCCTATGTAGATTCTCATTTAAGGATTTTCAATAGGATTATAAACGAAATTTCTAAATTATAACTATTTAGGAAATAAAGCCCGTCGAAGACGGGTAGAACAGCTAGTTTTTAATATAAATAATTATTGAAAAACTAAATTACAAAAGCTGGATTTTTTGCATTTTTGGCTAAAGTGAAAGACAATATGGCGGCGAGTACACAGACAAGTGGATATATGCGTCAGTGGTCAAGGATTTGTTCATTTGTTAATGTTCATTATTATTATTGTTATTAATTATTTAATAACGATAATGTTGCAGTGTCAAGTATGGAAAAAAATGAAGCCGATATATACTTATCCTTTCAGTTCTGATAAATTTGACATGAGGCAATTGTATTTTAATCCTACGGAAAAATTAAATTGCAGTTATCATTGTCAGAAAATGACCCTTTTCTTCACTAGCGAAAAATAATTTTTTATGGTTTTATTTTTAAAAAATCATTTTTATAAAGTTTTCTATCAAATTCTATATTTATTTATTTAAAGTACACTTGTTTAAAGCACGACGTGCACATACAAGGAAGATACGCTTAAACAAAATATAAATCATTTACATAAACGATCGTTGAGGACATATATTAAAATGTTAACAAAACGTTTAATTACAGAACGGTTACTTGACGATAAGATAGTTAACAATTTTTAGACAGGGGAAAGGCTACGTGAATCCGCTGTGAAAACTGAATCAAATATGTTTTCACAGGCGGGACAAGATGTACAATATGAAGAAAATGTTCAGTATCCAGCCTACAGGAGGCGCAAATCGCATCGAGGCTGAAAATGAATTTCTTTTTATTAAAATATATTCTACAAGAATGATGGTTCAAAGGCCTACATTGAGCGAAAATTCTTTTGAAATATAAAGGCATATCTAAATGTAAATAGTTCTGAGAGTTTTGATAAAAAGGAAGATAACAATAAATTTCCAAACTCTTAGATTTACTAAAACGCAGTCCAAATCCCGATTCTTAGTAAAATTTTCGAAAGCTTTTTAAGTATATGAACACCATCGAGACCAAATGACCCAGGAGTCATAGCGTTCCATTGATCCAAAAGACTACAAGGCTCAAAAAGAACTGATTTTAGTTGGATTAACCAGTTTAGATTGTAATTTGGGTTACTTTTAGATAATAATAATAACTTTTCAAAACATATCCTGGGGTACCGAAAAGAATCCATTGTAGAAATTTTATTTATCCAGGCTATGATATATTTAAAAACATTATTAGCAAGGTGTGTGCTTCCCGTTTCCAACCTTACTGCGTAGTTTGGAGTACAAAGAGGAAGGCTCAAAAACTTTTTAAGAAAGTAAGTTGAACTCTTTCAATGCCATCCAAAAACTGCAGACCCCAAATCTGGCATCCATAAAACAAAATACTCAATGCAAGACTCTGGAAAAGTTAAGTATTAGACTTCCAGGAATTAGCCCCGACAGTATAGATCAATTTCAAAACAGATCCCACCGCGGTATTTGCTGCACTGATAGCTTTTCTGGAAGCAGACGCAAATGAGGTAGAGTTGTGAAAAGAAACACCGAGGTAAACATATTCATTCACCACCTCGATACGACTGTCCCTAAATTTAAATGATCTAAAGTTCTTTGCTTTCGAATTACCGGATTTAGTAAAGATTACAATTTTATTTTTGTCAACGTTTACAGACAGTTTATTCAACTCACAGTAATCATACAAGGCATTCAATTTATTAGAAAGTTCTATTGTCGAATCGGCGAGAAGAATATAATCATCCGCGTAACCTAACATAAGTATTTCAGATGAGTTATTAATAGAAATTCCTTTACAACCACGCTTTATGAAATATTCCTCCATGTCAGAATTAAATAAAAGAAATAATAAACAACAGTACACGAGGCATTCAGATGAATTTGAATGATTGAAGATAAATAAATTGTCTAGACAGCTCCTGCCCCTCCTGAAACCAGATTGTGACTCAGGAATGAGACACAATTTGTCGGCCCATGAGACAAGCCGATCACAGATGATCTGGGTAAATATTTTAGCAATACAGTTCATCAACGTGATCGGTCTGTAATTCTCCGGGTTCGAGGTGTCGCCTTTTTTGTAGAGCATGAAGGTAGAAAGACAACCCCAATCTATTGGAACTTTTTCAGAAGATAAAATTATGTTAAAATAGCTATTTAAAAATAAAATCCAATTTTGGGGTAAGTGTTTATAAAAATCAAAGTTAATACCATCCAAGCCCGGGGCCTTCCCATTCTTACAGTTAGAAATACTTTTAACAATCTCATCAACTGTTATACATCCATCAAGTTTAATAACTGATTGAGGAAGTACATTAAAAATGTTATTCGAAACATTAGGGGTCAGAGGGTAGCAGTTTTTCAGATAATCGAACCAAGTTTTAGAATTAATGTTATTCAGATGAGATGCACGGGGACGGGTTGCGTTGACAATTTTCCAAAATTGAGCTGCTGATTTACATTATTTATTGCTGCAAATCGGTTAGAATAAAACATTTTTTTTATCCCACATGCACAAAAACGGCGCTTTCTGATAGCAGCCGACAGGGAGGAAAGTCATTCATTTCTTCGACCGTATGAAAATGGCGGCCGTGTTCTCCCAAGGGCAAGAAAATTAGCTGTTCACATGCATTTTTCTTGCCCAAGGGAGAAATCGGCCGCCATTTTCATACAAATCGAACAAGTGAATGACTTTTACTCCCTGTCGTCTGCTATCTGAAATCGCCGCTTTTGTGCATTAGGAATAAAAAATATCGTAAGTAACACGAGAATAAAGGCAGCCAATTTCTTTACGATGATTTTTGTGACACTCGTTCCGGTCTCGGGGCGCCTACGGCGCCCTCGACCTCCACTCGTGTCACAAAAATCACCGTAAAGAAATGGCTGCCTTTCTCCTCTTGTTGCTTAATATACTATTTTTAATTTAACGGTTTTCAAGTACATATTTTTTTATAATAACTGTTTTTCGAAAAAATCGAAAATTTAGATCTTCTGCAATTTTTTAACGCTTCTGAAACTCGTTTCTTAGCAAGACGGCATTCAGCATCCAACCAAGGTTTTTTTTTTAAACATTTTTTCTTCAATTGATAAGTAGACATATTCAAACCCATTGCGACTTCCCGGACCGTAGAAACAAAAATTGAATTAAGATCATCTATGTCACAATCCAAACTAGCCACCTCTTCTCTATATGCCATGTTTAAGAAAAAAGAATCTGCTTTATTTTTATTAAAAAACAATCTACCGGGACTAATGCTGTCTGAATAAGAACATGAAAATGAGAGATTTAAACTTAAAGGAAAATGATCAGAGGAAGTAGCTAAATGGAGTACATGTAGGTTCTGAATAAGAGGAAGGGCCGTGGAAGAGCACCAGACAAGGTCGATTACACTTGCACCGTTTGAATTTGGGTCAGACCAGCTCAAGTGTGTTAAAAATTTTTTATTGATTTTCTAAAATGTTAAAACTTTTATGAAAATCGGTAGTTCAGAACAAAACAAAAAAACACTTTTAACCGTTTTTTGAAATTTTAAATTTTCGATACTGTTTTTGCATTAACAAAATAATACAAAATTAAAAAAAAATTAATAACTCAAAAGCCGTTTACAATAAATTGATGAAATTTACACTGATTAGACAAAATTGTTCACTTTTTTAAAAGAAAATATTTGCAAGATGGTAAATTTAAAAATTTCAAATTTTTAATAACAATTTTATAAACAATTTCAATTATTTATGTGTTCTACCCCTCCAATTGCAATAAAACTCATAGGAAGTGTACTCAGTAGTCTCTTCTTGAAGACAAAAAAAAATTTTTGGTATTTTTACTTTGGAATGTACATAACGAATTTTTTATTAAAAACGCGCGCCAATTCCACTGTGGGAACAAGTAGATTGTCATGAAAAATTCAGTCTAGAGGTTACAAATATTATTTGTTTTTAATAATTTTTTTTTAAATGAAAATTTATAAGATTGAGCACCGATTTGTGGCGGCAGAATTTTGAAAACTGTTAAAAAATTTTTTTATTTAACAATATATATGAACAAAGGAGAAAAAATATTTACTAAAAATAAGTTAACAAATGTGTAGCATTCATATTTTTTTAAGTTAAGATATCAGATTTGATCTGATAGGTGCGCAATATTATAAACTTTCATTTAAAAAAAACTTATTAAAAACTCTTCAAGAAGAGACTACTGAGTACACTTCCTATGAGTTTCATTGCAATTGGAGGGGTAGAACACATAAATAATTGAAATTGTTTATAAAATTGTTATTAAAAATATAGAATTTTTAAATTTACAAGCTTGTTGATAACATCCCTGATATCGCACAAATGGTTAATTCCATGGATGTTCCAGAAAAAGATTCGGCCCTCTGCTGAATTGTTAAAAAGTATAGAAGATGACTCGCCGCTACTTTGTTGCTATTCAATATTGTCGAATTTCAACATTTTGGCATTATCTCTAACTTTGGAAAAAAACCGTTTTTACCCAACGACTAGCAATAAACTTAATAATCACAGGACGGTTGCCCTTCTTTTTTCCAAGTCGAAAAGCATCCTCAAAAGCCAAGTCAGGAATATTCAGCCCCACTTCAGAGAATATTCAAAAAATCGAGTGAATTAGCATGTTGTTGATAGAGTCCGAGTCCTCCAGGTTGAAAAGAATAATAATTAAGAATAATAATTCTTAGCTCTTTGAAAATTGTCATAGCGTAATGTACTCTCTTCTATAGAACGAAAACGATTATCGTAAGCATCGAGTCTATTGATACTAGATTTCAAAAGGCTGTTCGTAGATCGTATTTCCTTTTTCATTTCCGAGTGAGAAGCAGATAGCTCACTAATTTTTTTAGTATATCTATTAAATGAACATATTTTACATTGACCTTTTTGACACTTTAATATTCATGATAATTTTTTGAATTTTTTTAATCCTACTTTTACGGTTTCAAATTTTTTTGGAAAAATTTATTTCACAATACCAGTTAATAATTTAGATAAAACAAGGCCAAGAGCGCTAATAAAAGTTAATTAGTTTTCGAGAAATTAGGAAATTACGAAAAGCATGCAAAATCCAGTATTTTCTCTGTATCTAACAGAATAGTCAAAGAAAATTCTTCGATCAGGTGTCAGTCTTTTCATAATTTCATTAGCTTTCAGGAAAAAAATACGAAAAATTTTTGTCATTCTTATTTTCGACGTTTTAAGCATTTTTCCACTTATGAAAAAAGGGGCGTCCTGATACTCACGGACGGTAGTGTAAATAAAAAATAAGTAATTTTAAATGAGTCACAATAAACAATTTAAAATTAAATAAAAAGAACAATTGGCATAGAAAAAGGAAGGAACCAAAGAAGTCGACCGCGGAGCTGTCGACGAAGCGCTAGTTTATATAAATAATTGAATTGTTGCAACAATTCAATTAAAAAAAAAATTAAATTCAATTAAAAAAATATTCTTGTTTTAAGCGGATTCCTCTTATTTCAATGCATATTTTCCTCTTGTATATGGCTCAAAAATAATCCTCTTATTTTAAGAGGATTATTCTCCACTTAACAATAATCCTCTTAAAATAAGAGGAAAATACTCTTCGATTAAGAGTAATATTCTAGATTTAAGAGGATTTTTGCAAGAGGAATTTTCCTCTCAAAACAAGAATTTTTTTTTTCAGTGTGGGAAGGATTTTCTTAAAATATAAAAGAATAATTGAATTATTTCAAGAAAAATTCAATTAAAATTGAATTTAAAGTAATTGATTTCTTTCGAACAAT